CAGCGCGAAGTGTTTTTACATAAAAAATTTTTCTATTTAAATAAATTTTTTTCATTTTGTTTTTAAATTAATTGATATAATTTTTTTAAAGAAGAATTAAGTCACTTGGTTTCGAATAGGAAGATCTTTTAATAAGAATACAAAGGCATATACTTAGGTTTCATTGTATGAAGATGAAGATAATTCCACTTAGATTTTACTTTTTAATTTAGTGGAATTTAAATAATAGTACCATATGGGTTCTTAAAGATTAAAGGTACCACTTGTGTTTTACTCTTTAATTTGGTAGAATTTAACTTGGCGCCGACTGTTGATATCAAATCTTGTATACAAATGATAAATGTCATTAAAATTAAGTAAGTAATGAGGTAGAATAACTTGGCGCCGACTATTGATATCAAATCTTTTATACAAATGATACATGTCATTAGAATTAAATAAATAAGGATAATGTCACGTAGATTTTTAAAGACGGTTCTACTAAATAGCAAATGTGATTGGTCAGTTTCACAGTCGATTAAGTAATTGAAACTGGCCCAAATGGTTTTTTGACCAGCAGCACCCACTCTTAGCGGGTCTTATCTTTTTTCTACCTTTTTTTTAAAAAGGTAAGTTTTACATATTACCATAAAAATTGACTCATATATTATTGAAGGTGCCAGTTCAAAGTAAACATAAGGATAGTACCACTTGGGTTTTTAAAGATAGAATTTAACTTGGTAAGGATAACATCACGTAGGTTTTTATAAATAAGAACTACATGGGTTTTTCTATTTTAAGGATAACATCACGTAGGTTTTTATAAATAAGAACTACATGGGTTTTACTATTTAATTTAGTAGAACTTAATAAGAATAATTACCACATCGATTTTTAAATATAGTAGAATTTAACTTGGCGCCGACTGTTGATATCATATCTTTTATACAAATGATACATGTCATCAGAACCATTTGGATTAAAATAGGAAGATCTTTCATTAAGAACTACATGGATTTTACTATTTAATTTAGTAAAATTTAATAAGAATAATAACCACATCGGTTTTTATATGTATATAAAGATAGTAGAATTCAGCTTGGCGCCGACTATTGATATCATATCTTTTATACAAGTGATATACATATAAAGTTGTAAGTAAATAATTTTTAAAGAACACGCGATTGTTTTTATACAAATGATACATGTCATCAGTTAAGAACTACATGGGTTTTACTATTTAATTTAGTAGAATTTAATAAGAATATCACTGGTTAATTAAATTAAAAAATCCCACCGCCACCCCCATCGTCAAATATATATAATTTAGTAATATAGTTTTAATAAAATGGTATCAAAACGATGGTCGTCTGTATGTAAATTAATTATTATCTTTTTGTATTAACATAATGTACACCTTACCTTATATTTCATTACTTTCTTAGAGAGAGATATGTCAATTTTATTTTATTAAAAAAGTTAAGTTTATATACAATTGTAGAATTGTAGAAAATTTATAACTTGGTTAAGATAGTGTTACATGGGTTCTGGTTTACATCATGGTCTATTAGACAGCAAATATAATTAGTTGATTCTACAGCCGATTAAGTAATTGGGGTTGGTGAAACTGGCCTAAACGGTTTTTTGTCAGAAGCACGAATTCTTAACGCATTTTCTACCTTTTATAAAAAGGTAAATTTATATACATGCTATAACATTGCAAGCAGTGTGCGATGCAGAACTTCGATTCTTGGATTGTTTTGCTGGATTTGCTGGATCAGTAGGAGATTGGCGTGTTTTTCGAAATTCAGATTTATGGAAGGAAGTTAATGCAAATAGAGCATCTTTTTTTATGTATCAAGATTATATCATTGGAGACAAATCTTATTCATGTCTGTCATGGTTGATACCACCATTTATTAATTTCGGCCAACTGACAGAAGTAAGATATATTCAAATTAGAGATGGAAGCATGTACTTTATAGGGAAAGTCACTTTTAACCAAGGCCATCTTCTTTTTTTCGTTCTTTATATGTTTGTATAGGCTCAGAAACAGTTTAACACAGCACATGCCAGTATGAGACAGGTTATCGAAAGAGCATTTTCATTACTGAAAGGCAAATGGAGACGCCTGAAATTCTTGGATATGAATCGTGTGATATGATTCCTTTTGTCATTCTGGCGTGCTGTGTACTACATAATATTTGCCTTGATAATAAGTTGGGAGATTACGAAGACTTTATTAGCGAAGGATACGATGACATTGACAATGATAATGTTTATTTTACTAGACGGCCAGTAAACTTCCAAGACGATCCTGAGGGTATACTGAAACGACAATATCTTGCTACTATTATTCGCTAATTGCTTCTGATATTATAAATAATATAACAAATAAAGAGAGAATTTTAATACTTCTATTTTAATACTTCTAATTTTAATACTTCTAATAATGACAATCTCATTGACAAACACAGATTTATTAATTTTAATTGTATTTTATTTATTTTACAATGAAACTTAAACTAATTAGAAATTGTAATGATAATAGTTATCATTTACATCTGTAACACTATCACAGCCATTACATTGTATTATGAAGGAATAAAAATTCAATATCACATTTTCACTTTGGCTGCGTTCCGAGATGCACTGTCATTACTCGAAATTTATAGTGTACGTTACATTATAGGCTCGTTCTTTTTTCTTCTTTTTTCCTCCTGGACAGAAAAAGAAGAAAGATGAACTGATGCAAAAATTCAGCTAAAAAGAACAAGCTTCATATTACAGATTTGTATTACTAGCAGTGAATTTCGGAATACAGCTTTTATAATAAGTTGCAAAAAAACGAAGATAATGGAAATCATTTTCAAATAATAAGAAAAACAAAAATAACGTATCATAGACTTTCAATTGCAACAATATTAAAGAAAAATATTCTTCAGTCTACAATAAATATAAAATGCTAATTTAAAAACTAATAAACTTCGTGCACGTATAATTTGTGCAATAAAAGCATTGTATATATAATATTGCAAAATTAAGATAGGTACGAGATGCGTTCCGAGTTACGCGTAAAACCTAGACTGCACAATATTAATATCTAGATTGTCTTCTGTTGACAATCTCATTGACAGTACTGAAAATTCATGGTATCTCTTTTATTTAATAGCTCGTTCATCCAGTGAATTAACAGAGGACGATATGGTCAAATCACGTCTGATTTGTCTACTCCAGTAATGAGTAGACAATGAAATACATTAAAATCTTTTAGAGTTACAATAAAAATACGACATTGAAATCTTTTAGAGTTATAAAACTGCAATGAGGTGCTATGGATACAAATATTTTAATCATATAGGCTCTTAAACCATTAGATGAAGTAATTAATACTTCTTAAATGCGGAGCCCTTGTAGAAAAGTACTACTGAGCACTAGGAGTATTTTGAGGCACTACTGTACTATAGCACTACTCACCACTACTGTACTACTACACCAGCGCAGTAGTGCTGTAGTAGTACAATAGTGCTGAGTAGTGCTGTACTACTACAGCACTACTGCGCTGGTGTAGTAGTACAGTAGTGCTGAGAAGTGCTGTAGTACAGTAGTGCCTCAAAATACTCCTAGTGCTCAGTAGTACTTTTCTACAAGGGAGAAAAGCCACATAATATGCAGAGCGCACGAAATTCATGCTATAAATGACGTAAGCTTTAGATTTTCAGTATTGCCAATGAATAAAAGTATATCCAAATGAATCTATATAATCACATAAACATATGCATAAAGAAATTGATTGATCCATTTATGCATTTATTTATGATAATAAATTTCCTTACGCATATATTTATGCAACTATGCAAGTTTGTCTAATCTATATATAACAGAATTTTCCTACTAATTTAAAAAGCACAAAGACAGTATATTCTGCAAAGTGACAATAACTAATAAGTATTTAAAAATGTATATAAAGATATTTAAAAGTACATAAAAGAATATAAAGGCGCTATTATTATATAATAGTACTGTGATCTACATAAAGAATTAGCTTATATAGTCACAGTTTGTCGAGGAGTTTTGTCATAAACTGTTCGTACGTCTCTCGGGCTTTATCTTGACGTGCCAATAACTCCTTGTGCCTTCGTTCTTTGGCTTCATCACGTTTCCGGTTTTCTTCGCTCACCATTTTTGTCCATACTTCTAATTCACGTTCCATACGTGTTTTTAATTTTTTTATTGGGACTCTACTATTTTCTACATTATCAGTGTCGTTGGTTGTATCAGTACTAGATGTATTCTTTGAAATTACTGCTAAATGAGATCTTTTTTTCAAATTTGAAGCTAAAGCAATAGGTTTTAGGCAAGGTTTCTCTCCTATCACTTCCTCCAATTCTTTAAAATATTTGCAGGTTTTCGGTTCAACTCCTGTTTGATTATTATGATCTTTTGTACGCTTGTACACTTTAGTTATGTTCTTAAATTTATTTTCACAGTTTTTAGTAGTATATTGCCAAGCATTGTTCGTTTTTTTCAACTCTTCACTTATTTTTGCCCATACAACATCATTTCTAGTGCAGCTACTTTCAAACAGAGGTTGATGTTGTTTCCACTGATAAATGAGTGTCTTTACAGCGTTCTCATCTTTCCAAAACGCAGTAGTTTTCTTTTCATCATATGTTGAAGTCTCACTCAAAAGTAGATTTGTATTTTAACAAACTAATTCAGATGATTTTTCAGTTGATATTTCAAGTTGAGGCTCCACAAAACATTGTCGAATTTGCAGGACATCCGGCACTTTGATCATAGTGTTTCCTGCAAAAACAATTTCAAAGGTATATTAATAAAACAATATGAATAATAATAAGGGCACTGAGCCAAATACAAAACACAAGACAAATATATCAAATTAAGTATAATATAATATTTAAACTTTAATACAGACGTTTCGACTCCGATCGGGTCATCTTCAATGTAACAAAAATAAATAAATTTTAAAATTTCTGTGTCGATAATCATGTCAGGATATTGTTCGCATATTGAAATTGTAGTCCATTTTGCAAAAGTCAATCCAATACAATAAAATCAATCTAATAAAAATTTATATAATTTGTCACATCAGAATCTTAAATAGTATGTTAAACAAGTGTTAAGCGATAGTTACCTTATTAAAAATTATGTAATAATTAATGTCATTGATGTAAAAATCCATATTTTGAAATATGCAATATTGTCAATGGTAAATTGTTATAACAGTTCAGATACAATCCAAATTACAGCTTTATCGACTTAATTACGTTACTGTCGAGAAACGCAATGAAGAAATACATTCTTAATAAGAGGCAAAAACCAACTGAGAACAGTCTAAGAGGTAGAGAAGGACTGTATCATATTTGTGTACATATCGGGCAATGACTCCGTATCGTTTTGTTTATTTATGCCATGTGTCTGTTTTTTAATATAACCATCTCGGATATCAACCTCTTTTTATAGGAAGGTTCCACATATATCTAATACTTCCACACACAGATGTCTATACTAGAACTAGATCGCTAACTTCGGCTGAACGTTGAAAAGGGCCGGATATCCGGTTGCTGTCATCTTGAAGTTGATTAAATGGCGAATATAGTAGCAAGAATAAATTTACATAGGTTTTATTAGAAATATTGTTATTATGGAATTATTCGTACGTACTATGGAATTATGTTATGTACGTATGTGGAATTATGGGTACGTATTATGGAATTATTCCGATTCCGATTAAAATTATTCAATTATTCTCTAGATTTTTATTGTGTTTTTCTAGAGAAAATTGAATGATTCCGATCGGAATCCATGATAGGTACCTTAATCAATTTAATATTGGACATTACTTATTTTTATTTTGTACTGTTGCTTAGTGAAGAAAAAATGCGAAACAAGTGTGCAATACGACATTGCGGAAATACTCGTACCCATGGGTATCATTTGTTTAAGTAAGTCACATGTACTTAATTATTAAACGTTTTCTTTAAGGTTATGTTTTAGCTGCAAATTATAATTATTTCAGATTTCCTTTTGATAGAGAAGATCACTTAAAAAAATGGATGGAAGCTATTGGGCAAGCAGATTTTGAACCCATTAAAACCGATGTTATTTGCAGTGCACATTTCATACCTAATGATTACATGGATAGGGATGGAGATTCCACACCGCCTACAGTTAATAAATATTATCTGTAAAAAGTACTTAACACTTAGAATGCATTCATACTCAAAGACATTAACGAAAGATATTCTTAATCCAGTTAGTAAGAGACAAAAACTATCAAAATTAATATTATTTAATCATACTTAAATAATCATACTTATCATGCCTATTTTACGTTTCTTAATTTCACAACATATTATTACATATTACATTTTATTATATTTATTTTTATATTGTATTCTAAGTTAATTCTTTACATATATTTTATATTACTGAGTCTATGTAAACTTGATAACTTGCACTACATATGCAATGCTTCATATATTTAAATAAAAAATTATTTGTTTATAATAAAATTATTTTGCTCGTTACTGCATTCATTATCTGGACCTTTATGAACCATTCGTATTCTTTAATATAGAAGAATGCACTTTTACAACGTTAACGCATATATAGTCTGTATAATTGTATGCAGTACAGATAGTAATTCATGTATGTATAATGTTCAGATGTAATTACCTTTGTAATTATTAAAATTCTCATCGAATCAAATATTTACGTTCATATTAAAAAGAGTTTCGTTCAGCTCTTGACCAAATAATGGAAATTTGGAGGTTACGAAGGATCGAGGCTCGAGATATAGATAAGTCAAATGTAAGGATTGAAGTTTCTATTACTTTATTAATTTAATAATAAATATTTCTAATATAAAAAATGATTCTCAGCTAATTTCTTGCTAAAAATGTTTGAAAAACAGCAGATGTCATGGGACATTTCGACTGCACGCGGAGCGGTGAGGAGGAAAATGCAACTTTTAGCTGATAACATATTGCGGAAATTTTTTAGAAAACTGTAATATGCAAATTGTAATCTGTTTTACTTATATGTACGTATGTTCATTTTGAATTTGCACCTTGAATGATCTATTAGTTACTTTTCGTGGTACATATTCAACATAGAAAATATACTTTATGTATGTTGCAGTTATTTTCTAGAACACTGTAATATTTTTATTGTAATCTGTTT